AAAGGAATGTTGCTCTTGCAACTAGCTTAAATAAAATACATTTAGATTTTTAAAATGTATTTCAGTTAATGTTTATTTTATTTCAAGAAATGAAAACTTTATGGTTTTAAGTGACTATAATAATACAGATTCACACTGCAAATCACACTATGAAAAATTATCCAAATGATTAACAAAAGACATAAATATATGGGCACAGTTTAATCGCATGACATTCCATTTAGTCGATGAGCAAGTGTCCAAATTGATTTTGTATTCATTTTGAATATCAAATCTAACACTAAATAAATAGCCTAACAAGATTTTTTTGTGAACGGTTTTACAGTTGTGCCCTCTTTTTGAACAAATACTGCTTGGTTTGAAATGTTGCTACCTAGCACAGTTTTTAAATGTGTGTTAAGTGTCCAAATACTTAACAGGGGGTGGAGGGGTCGATTATACAATAAATCGATTACTGATAGTTAAATAGTTAGTTAAATTTGCATTATTTTACCATAGTCCTTTGCCTCCTTTCGTCGAATAAGCATGGGATATTGTTTGGTAGAGCAGATGATGGTGGCCAGAGGAAGAGCTGTGTAAGGGACACCACACACACTATCAAACTCCACTCCTGCATCCTCAGCACGCTTATGAAGAAGATTTGCCACCTGATCTCACACACACACAAATAATATGATATTAACATATGACCAACAAATGAGATTAATCTAAAGGAGCATTTTTCACTTCTTGAGACTTGTTTTATAAAACAGTTTTGGTAGGAAAACGCTCAGGATATGTTACACACTTTTGGCATAACGGTACAGAATCATTACTCAAAGTGAGCACGTGCTTACCTGGTTCATCAACGCTGGATGGGAAACTATTACTCTAAGATCAAAATATATCGGCGAAGTGAGTCCACTTTTTAGCTTAAAAGTCCCAAACTTGACTGCTTGGATGTCGTGCAGATTCAGGATTAAACTATCCAGACTAACGTTAGTGTCATCCATTTCGATTTGAGCAGCCATGTTTCGCCAACTAGGGTAAAGTGCGGGTAACGTTAGAGAGTTCTTCCGTTGCTCGGATCGTTCCCAAACCACACGTGATCACTTGACAAAATAAAAGCATCAGTAGCCCTGTGTGGACTTAAAAACAAAACTAGTTTAAAACTCATTTTAGAGTACTTTATTTAATCAGACTCCTTGCTAATGCTTACTGCATAGCTAGCATTTTAAATATCCTTAATACAAACAATAAAATAATAGACCTATATACACGGTTTGCACAAATGTAACAAAATTCCAGCCTGACTGGACATTTTGTTCATAAGTATATTGACCTCTCATATTTAATCTCAAGCTCTTCGACATGACATTATTGTCGTTTTGGTAACACTAAGTTTCATAAAACT